CATTTAGTTTAACTTAGTATAAAATTTGGTCTTATTAACATTTATTAACATTATTTGCTTTCAGCAAATATACTCGGGATTAGGCACTAAACAGCTAACCATCATCTTACTTCCCTTGTTGACAAATTTTGTATTATAAAGATAGTATGGATTTATTTGATTAGTAACCCAGGTAGAAAAAGCTGTTTCTCTGCATTATATTAATGTTGAACTCTAAAGACAGGCCTATTTTTCTTAAACCAACAAGTTTAAATTAGTGTTTATCAGAGATCCAGATCCTATGAACTGAAAAAAACATTTAGGTTCACTGCTATATTTTTGGGACTATATTTGACTTATATAAACACTTAATTTTCTTTAAGACCATTAAATAGAGGTCCTGACAACTTAATTTTGGCAATACCAATTCCAAGGTCGACTAGAAAGTAGTGAGCTAGCCTAGTGGGCTCTGTGGGTACCTACTCCTGTTTGCTCACAGGCCTTTGAGTTGCTGGGGATCTTCTCTGGATCCACTTCTCTGACATCATTTAATATAAACCTTAAAGATACAACAGGCAATTATTTTACTAGCAAAATGAATTTATTTGGGAATAACAGAGGCACTGTAATTTGGGACAGGCAAATTATGGCAAGCCATAGGCAAGTCTGAAGAGACAAAGGGAAGGTCAGATTTCATTAGGTTTTTATATTATTTTTTTTTAATTTTTTTTTTAACATTTATTTATTTTTGAGACAGGGAGAAACACAGCATGAACAGGGGAGGGTCAGAGAGAGGGAGACACAGAATCCGAAGCAGGCTCCACGCTCTGAGCTGTCAGCACAGAGCCCGACGTGGGGCTCGAACTCAAGGACCGCAAGATCACGACCTGAGCCGAGGTCGGCCACTTAACCGACTGAGCCACCCAGGCGCCCCGTTGTTATATTATTTTTAATGTTTATTTTATTTTTGAGAGAGAGAGACAGAGTGTGAGGGGGCAGGGGCAGAGAGAGGAGACAGAATCGTAGGCAGGCTCCAGGCTCTGAGCTGTCAGCACAAAGCCTGATGTGCGGCTCCGCCTCACGAACCATGAGATCATGACCTGAGCTGAAATCAAGAGTTAGACGATTAACCGACTGAGCCACCCAGGCACCCTGGGTTTGATTAGGTTTTAGGAGGAAACTGGGGAGGATTGCTTGAACACAAGTTCACTGAAGAAGCTTAGATCACGACAGTTTTTCATTGGCTGCAAATGGTGGATAGTGCATTATTGCTGGGGCTCTGAGAGATTTTCCTTTTTCTTAAAATCCTATGATAAAAGTGCCCTCCCTTTTCAAGAATTGGCTGCCTGGGTGGCTAGGTCAGTTGAGCATCTGACTCTTGATTTCGCCTCAGGTCATGATCTCACGGTTGGTGAGCTCCAGTTCAGAGTTGTCCCCTCCACACTAAACCTGTGGTCGTCCCCGGTTACCTCAGGCTGGCTCAAGTGTTTTGAACTGGACATGCCTCGGCAGCACAGTTTAGGGTAGCCAGGAAATGAAATAAGCAAGAGTTGGGAAAAGCTAGGTCTCAGAAGCAGAATGATGGGGGTCCATAGCATTTGCCTAATTCCAACACTTAACCTACACAAATGTGTTTATTCCCTCTGAAGGCAAAGCTGGGGGAATCTGCATTTTGTTGCCTGGGACTGGGCTGGGCAGGCCGACTGACCAGGGTATATTCCAACAAGAGACACCTGGGAGCTTTAATTACTGGTAAGTCTGGGACCCCAGCAGGCAGCCAGTCTAAATGGAGACTGACTGTGGCCAGTTGAAAGCTGACCCCTCAGAAAGATATTCAGGGTGGGCTTTCTACCCCCTGGAGATATTAATGGTGGTTGGGAATGGCCTGAGTTTCACAGACCTGCAGGGTCCTCGTAGCCAAGGGCTGGCTGAAAAATTGCAGTCTGTACATGGGTGCATCCACAGGTTAGGGTAGCCAGAGACCTGGAACAGGGCAAGTGTCAGGACAGGCTGGGTCATGGGTGGGACTACTGTAGGTCCAAAGGTATCTGCCTACTCCCAAGCCCAAATCTCCACAAATGAACATGGAGGGGCCAAGGATAGGTGACTGTAAATGGACCACATTGGCAAGTTGATTGTTTGGAATTAAAAGTACTTAAGAAACAGCCCAGGCAAGACAACTCCCTGACCTGCCTTCTTTGTTTCCAGAAAGCAGGAAATAAATCTCCCATGTGAAATGCACCCTCCCTGTACCAAGAAGTAAGGAGTCATCCTTGTCACCAGAGATAACAGAATTCAGAGCCAAGAAAGCTATAGAAACCCATCTTGTTACTTTTACTAATTTACCTCCCCAGCCCAAATTCTGTTAGATTTCCTTACTAACTGAAGCTCCCAAACATTCATTTTCTTTGTCATGTTAATTCCTCACAGATTGTTCCTTTGTCTAAAAAGTGGAAAAGCTGGGGCACCTGGGTGGTTTAGTCAATTGGGCGATTGGGTGTCTGATTTTGGCTCAGGTCATGATCTCCCAGTCGGTGAGTTCGAGCCCCACGTTGGGCTCTGTGCTGACAGCTCAGAGCCTGGAGCCTGCTTCAGATTCTGGGTCTCCCTCTGTCTCTGCCCCTCCACCCACCCCTCCTTCTCTTTCTTTCTCAAAAATAAACATAAAAACATTTTTTTAGTAAAAAATAATAATAATAAGTGAAAAAGCTGCTTGCCTTTTGTTCTCAAATTTAGCATTCAGCCTCCATTCACACATAGTTAAATTTTGTGGTTTTGTCTTCTATTAATCTGTTTCATATCACTTAAATTCTCAAACCAGCTAAGGGAACCTTGATAAGTAGAGGTAAATTTTTCCTCCCCAGCAGTTGGAATAGACAATAGGACAAACTTTACTGGCTGGATGCTGCTACACCTGAGAAGTCTTACAATCTCAGACAAAAGCTGGCAGAAGGTAATAATCCCCACCCTGTTAGCACCCTGTCTACTCCCAGCTCTCTACCTGTAGGTCTAATAGAAGCAAGAATGGTGAGAGGTGTTTTCACACTAAATTTATACTAGTAAAAGAAAATAACTGTGGAACCAGTTCCTTGGGCTTAGCGACACTAGTAAATTCCATAGAGTACTCTTGGCTTGACTGATCCTGTTCTACCTAGAGATGGTCACATTTTCTTTGCCATTGTCTTCAGTGTCATTTCTCATGAAAAGGAATTAACCACATGGGAAGAACGCAGGCATAGGCCCTACTGACCTGTTTATGGAGCTCGCCTCACAAACTGGTAAGTTCACAGTTCACATCAGGCTGGACTCCATATAGCATTTTACCACATGTCCTTTATGTGAGGTTTTTCCTTTTATCTATTTACATGTCCTGTGAGCTTGGCCTTGCAAACAATAAAATATTCTCTCTGGGGTCTACCATCTGGAGAATACACTGGCTCGAGTGCACCCTGGTGGCCAGGAAAGTACACGGACTACGGGTCAAGTACATGTAGTTGCAAGCAACACACTCTATCCAGCCGAGCCAGCTCTTAGGGATTTGTCATAAAAGATCCTAGACCAAAAGAAAAATAATCTCTTAACCGTGATTATTAGTGCTGGAAAAGTCTTATCTCATGAGCTGGTGTTGGTGTTGCAGGAGTCACAGATTAAAACTGGATACACCTCACACTTTCTTGAGAGAACGCAGACACTGTTCTCTAGAAGCCAACCTGACCACATGTTCACTGAAGACTGAAAAGACTAAACTTTTCATACCACTTTGGTAAGAAATTTTGGAAAACGAGGGCTACAAAGCATACCTCCAAGATGCCATCTTCCGATCACTGTCTAGGCCAAAAAATGGCCGGGGTGGAAGCATGAAGTCTACCATGGGGACGCCCCATCTGCCTAGTCGGTCACTATGACTGAATCACACCCTGAGGACTGGCCAAGGGTCCCAGATGTTGTCTCCTATCGGAGGCTAGTCCCACCAGGCATCCAGGCTATCCTGGCAAGGCAATCCACACTAGTGCCCCTCTGCCTAGCTGCTGAGGGAAGGGCGGCTGTGCCCCTCAGCCCTTGGAAGCCGGCAGGTGTCTTTGGCCACCCACCCAGGGCAGATGCCACCCCAGGGCTTCTCCACACACCCGCCAGGGTCCAGGTCCCGGGCTCCCCTGAACCTGCCTGGCCTGAGCAAGTGCTGCACGCACCGCACCGCGGCAGCCCCCTTCGGGCACCTGGACCCCCGGGGCAGCTCCCAGAGCACCTGCATAGCCTCTTGCCAGACAAAAGCTGCCCCTCAAGTTCTTGCCACCGCCATGGCCACAGCTCTCAGCGGGCCCCGGTCGGCCTCCATGGGAACTGGCTCCCTCCCCCATAGGGGCCCTGGCGCCCAGAGCAACCAAGGCCCCCCCGGGGGCTCCTCTGCTGCGGGAAGCCCAGGCCACTCACCCAGGCCCCCCGCTCTCCCAAGGTAGTCGTCTTTCCTCCAGCCTGGCCTTCAGGGGCAATACAGGCGCCCTGGGGTCAAACACGGTTTGGAACCGGGCAGAATCCCGCTTCCCCGCGGAGGCCTGGCTCCTGGCACCGTGGCCTCGCCCTACGGCGGCCCTGTTCCGGGTCCAGGGCTCCCTGGCCCCCGTGACCTGCCTCCGAGCGCCAGTGCAGTGCCCCGGCCACACCTGGCGCGCCCGCCTCGGGCGGCAGGGGGCGCGCCAGGCCTCCGAACAAGGGGCCAGTCAGGAGGCGTGTGGCGCGGCAGGGGGCGCACGGCTCCAACCAGCTCGCTTGGACTCGGGGTGCAGGGAGCCCACGGCGGCCAACGCTTTGCGCGGCCGAGGCGGCACGATGACATGGACAATTTCCATTTGGCTTGTCCGACCGCTGGGTCCCAGGTGTGTGCTATTCCAGGGCCCCTTCCGCGCCTTCCCCCGCCCCCAGCCCGCAGCCCCCGGCCCCCAGCCCCCAGCCCCCAGCGGGAAGGGAGCCCGGGCTCTCCCGGCTCCGCCCTGGGCGCGAGTTGGGGGCGGGAGGCGTTGGGGACGGGGACGACGTGTGCCCCGCTGAACTGTCGCGCTTGGACTCAGGCACGTGACTGGTTCCAGCAACAGCCCGCTCCCGTGACCGGCTCTGCCCGCATTCCTGCCCTGTGCCAGGTCTCTGGCTCCCCTGAACCGTGCCCACGGGCCCGTCGGTAGGCAGCACTCACCCCATCAGCCTGCTCGGGCCAGCGGGGAACGTCCGGGCCATCGGAGCTCGGGTGGGCCCACAACCGGCCTCATCGCCCTCAGAGACGTGGCAGCCTCCCTGCCCCCAAGTCTTGCGGGGGTGGCAGCTTCAGATGGGCCGCGGGCACACCCCATCCTCCTAGGCTGTCTGACCGGGTCCCACGCTGACCAGTCGCCCAGGGGCCAGGTGTCGTCTCTGGACGGAGGCTTGTCCTGCCATCCACCCAAGCCTCCTGCCATCCACCCATTTTTATCTTGGCAAGGCATTCCATACTCCTCCATCTGTCGACTGCAGGGTGAAAGGGTGTTTGGGTGGTTAGTATTTGTAATTAGTAGGTTGTTTAATTTCCTGGTTGTTTTCTGGTTAGTTATCCTCTCCAAACTTTGGTAGGTTGTGTCATGGCTTTGGTGTCCTCATATTTCAAGCTCATCCTTGGCAATAAGTGCATTCCTTTTCTTTAGAGTTCTTTGATTCTGGGTTAACTTGTGACGTTAATGCAAAAGGCATATGTGAGGTCGAGTGAAGTTCATACCTGGCAATATACCTCCTTCCTGATATTTTGAGTTGCTTTATTTTATTTATTTGTTTGTTTATTAATTAATGTTTACTTTTGATAGAGAAGAGAGACAAGTAGGGGAGGGGTAGAGAGTGAGGGAGACAGAATCTGAAGCAGGCTCCAGGCTCTGAGCTGTCAGCACAGAGTCCGACAAGGGGCTTGAACTCACGAACCAGGAGACACGACCTGAGCTGAAGTCCCACACTTAACTGAGCCACCCAGGCCCCCCTTGAGTTGCTTTATATTGATCACAGCCATTATGGTGTGAGGAAGTCCATGCCCATGTACATGTCATTTCTGTAAGCCCTGGTTCAGGGCCGATTAATAGCCGACATCAATCATCAGACTCGAAGTACCCAGTTCAACTGTTTTCTAAACCCGGACTTCTTGTTACCCTCAGTTTTCAAGACTTCCCATCTCAGGTGCTAGATATCATGAAGAGAGAAGCTGTTTTTGGTTTGTTGTTTCTGGTTTTCTGACATACTGATCCATGGTCATAGGAAAATGAACATTTTTTATGTCACTATGTTTGAGGTGGGTCATAAAGCAACGTAGCAGTTGGAGGCAATATTGACTGGCTGATTTGCTCATTTGATGCCTATTTGACCCTGGCCTTGCTCAGATTGTTTTTGTGGCCTGGTCCCTCTTTAGACAGCTATTTTGACACCTGTATGAACAGGAATTTTCCTCAGGGGAGGAAATTCCTCTCTTATTCCCCCTGCTCCTAGACTTTGATAAAGCATATTTAATTTTAGTTTTTGAGTCTAATAAGCTTCTACTTACAGTGTAGATTAACAATCCATTCCTCTGGTTGAGAAATGACCAAAGCACACAGGAAACCAGGAATGGCAATGAAAGAAAAGGTAGCAACGTCGTATTTATATTAAGTCTTGCAAGCAAACCGCCACCTGGACATCTTCCCTGACATTTGTACATATCTCGGGACTGATACCTAGAGAGTGGTTATGCTCCTACTTCACTGAGTCACAATTTGTCAGAGAATCTGTGTCATGTTGGATTCTCCCAAACAGACCCCGAGACTAGGATCTGGGTATAAATAGTTTATTTGGAAGGCGATCCTAAAAAAAGCATTGCAAGAGAGTCCAAGAAAGGAGGAAAGCCTACAGAGAATACGATGATGATCAGATTTGCAGGGGGTACTGGTGCTGTGCACAACGGAGGTCTGTCTTGCTGGGGACCCACCTCAGAAGTGTCCCATCAAGAGTCTGGGAAGCTCAGATATTTATGCACTAACTCCTTCTCCTTAGTAGTTGAAGTTTGCCTGGGGTCACGGACTCCCTGGAACTTCTGGCCTGCCCCCAACACAGGCCCACACACAGTCTAGCAATCAGAGAATGCCCAGGCAGCAAGTCCCAGGTGCTGTGGTGGGACCCTCTCAGTTTATCTTTGACTTTCAATTCTGTCAATTCCAGTTGCAGCCCATTGCATTACTATTTTGTATCTAACTGTTCCATTTTTAGCCAGCGGGAGACCCTCAAAGTTGACCTCTGGGTGTGTTTGATGAGATTCCATTAACATTTGATATCTTCCTCCTTTTCTAGCAAATCTACCAGCCTCAGGGTCATCTGGTACCCTTTCTGCCTCGGTATGGAATCAGCCATTTGTCAAGAAGCCCTGATACCTTTGAGTGGGAAATGGCATTTAGAGACTAAAATTCAGACATGAAAGCCACTGCTACTAGACCTTTTCAGCAAATAGAGCTTGAAAAAACTGCTTTTTAGAAAGAAACAAAAGAAATAATGAGTTACTGACATTTCCTATTTAAATGTAAGATTACAGGGCTGCCTGGGTGGCTCAGTTGGTTGCACGTAGGACTCTTGATTTTGGCTTAACTCATGATCCCAGGGTCACGGCTTGGAACCCTGCATCAAGCCCCACGTCACTGGGCTCCCCGATGAGAATGGACCCTGCTTAAGATCCTCTCTCTCCTGTTCTCTCTCTGCCCCTCCCCCACTCACATAAGTGCACATGCATGTGCTCCCTCTAAAAAAATTTTTTTAAATGTAAGATTATAGGGTTTTTCCATTATTTCTTTGATTTTGTCTCCTTCTCATGCCCTCCTAGTTTTGTCTGCCCCCCACCCTAATTTTGGTTGTATACACCCAAGACCTAAACCCCTTGTAGGTTCCGATCTCTTCTTTACCTCCCTCATCTTACTTTCCCATCCAAGCACCTTCCAGCTCTGAAATGAGGAGTCTGATATTTCCCCCATTTGAACTAACATAGTGGAAATGAGATGGACTTGTGGGGACATGGTGAAAATCTTCCCACCTAAGAACAGCTCAAGGTCATGTGAGCCATTAGATTCCTTAACACCAACCTTTTCCAGGCAAACACTCCCCCGTCTTCTTAGGAAGTTACTCCTGATAGAAATACCTCCCCAAGGAAATCACCAAGTAATTAAATGAATATGGTAGTTAAGAGCATATCACCAGAGATTCCATCTCCAGATAAGTCTCCTGAGACAAAGCTGAGTGTTTTTCCATTCTTTCTTTTTTTAAAAAAAATCGGATCCAGATTAAATTATGTTCCGTGGCAACTTGCGTCAATAGAGTTGCCATGGTTACAGGTGAACCTGAAAGTGGGCTGTGACAGCCTGGGCTCTGAGTTCCCCGAGGTGCATGTCTTAAAGATGCATCCATTTGTCTTCTTGTCTTGGCGAGAAACACAAGGAGAATTGATGAAATTTCCTAGCAAGGTGTAGCCTGTGGACAGATGCAGGTCAAGGAAAGGTGGAGCCATGGGCCTCTTCAAATAAATGTTTCCCTCCATCAGCCAGAGTAGTGTCCCAGGACACATCACACCATTTCCCCATGATGCCTTCATCTGCCCATGAATGAGGGATGAGGAATCGGGGAGAATCACCATGTGCTTACAACTCTCCAAATGGAGAAACCAAGGGCTACTCCCAGGAATTCTCCTTAGAAGAAAGGTAAGAAATAACATCTCCCTTCATTGGCAGTGCTGCCCAACAGAAATAGAACGTAAGCCACCAATGGGAGCCATACATGTAATTTTACATTTTCTAGCAGCTGCATTTTAAAGGGGTGAAAGGAAAAAAAAACGAAAAATAAAAGGTTAAAAGCAACAGGTGAACTTAATTTTAGTAATTTATATCTAAACACAATGTATCCAACATACCATTTCAACATGTAACTAATATAAGTATTAATGAGACATGGGGCGCCTGCGTGGCTCAGTCGGTTAAGCGTCCGACTTCGGCTCAGGTCACGATCTCATGGTCCGTGAGTTTGAGCCCCGCGTCGGGCTCTGTGCTGACAGCTCAGAGCCTGGAGCCTGCTTCGGATTCTGTGTCTCCCTCTCTCTCTGCCCCTCCCCTGTTCATGCTCTGTCTCTCTCTGTCTCAAAAATAAATAAGTGTTAAAAAAAATTTTTTTAATGAGACATTTTACATTCTTTTTCATGCTAAATCTTTGAATTCTGGTGTGTACTTTGTACTTCAAGCACTTCAAATTCAGATGCTACATGCTTATCGGACATAATTGATCTGTATTGAGATGTCATAAAATTTACAGTTGAGATTGTTGAGTCACATGCTCAAGTGAATCCAAACACACTTAAAAGTTTTTCAATAACAAATTGGGTATGTTTAGGTCTTAAATTTAAGTGAAGTAAAATTAAATAAAATAAAAAATCTGGCTCCTCAGACTCACTAGACACGTTTCACATGCTCAGTAGCCACATGTGGCTGGTGACTGCAGGGACCTAAGACTGCAACTCAAAGTGTGCCCCTCAGACCACCAGCATCGTATCATGTGGGAGTTTATTAGAAATGTAGGTTCTTGGGCTCTGTTCACAGAGCCGCTGATTCAAAATCTGCATACTAAGAAGATCCCAGGTGATTCCTGCTAGAGGAATGAAGCCTGAAACTCTTTGTTTTAAATGTTTATTTATTATTTTTAGAGGGAGAAAGAGAGAGAGCAGGAAAGGGGCAGAGAGAGAGGGAGACAGAGGCTCTGAAGCAGGCTCTGTGCCGTCAGTGCGGAACCTGACGTGGGGCTCGAACTCACGAAATGTGAGATCATGGCCTGAGCTGAAGTTAGATGCTTAACTGACTGAACCACCCAGGCACCCCTTGTTTATTATTTTTTTGAATGTTTATTTATTTTGGTGGGGGAGGGGCAGAAAGAGACGGAAAGAGAGAATCCCAAGCAGGCTCCATGCTGTGAGCATAGAGACGGACATGGGGCTCGATTTCATAAGCCATGAGATCATGACCTGAGCCGAAATCAAGAGTTGGACACTTCACTGACTGAGCTACCCAGGTGCCCCTCTTTGTTTGGTTTTTAAGGCTCTTTAAGAGCTGACCCCTGCTGCCCCAGACCTCAGGGATCCCATTCTGTCATCAGCTCCCATGACCAGAGTTTCCACTGGGGTTGTATGGCTTCCTGCAAAGGGAAGGTGACAGCTGGGGTGTCCTTTAATTGGATGTTCACATCAGGGGTGCTTATCTTGTCACAATGTCACAACGCCCTCAGATCTTTGTGGTTATACCATTCCCACAAGACGAAAGCATTTGAAAAATGTGCTAACCATGTCTGGGGTCTTAAGATGTGTCATTTTCCAGGCCTTATTAGCCAAATCCAATTCCATCTAGCTTGAACCTCAATTTTCTGACCCATAAAATAAGGGGGTTAGACTACATCACTGCTAAAGTTTCTTTAACCTCTATAAAATAAACAATTTCTCTATGACCTGAGAATGACCAATGGGCTCCCTTTACTGGCATATTAGAGTCACCCCAGTGGAATCCAATACATTAAGTAAAAACATGTACCCATGGAAACAAAGAAAATCACGGGCTTATTAAAAATAGAACATTTCAATTTAAAACTGCATTCATCTCTAAGGCACTTAGAGGAAAATGGTTTGGGCCAAGGCTCATGAGCCAGCAACCTCAGTGATTCCTGTGAGAATTGCTGTCATTTCCCGAAGACTCTTCTTACCAAGACACTCGTGACACTGTTGGCGAGTGAAAAGGCGGTTACAAAACAGTGTGTACAGCGTGACTTCACTTTGCACGCTGGTGTACCCACACCGGGAAAGCAGTTTGGAAAGTGATACAGCAAAAGGCCAACACTGGCGCCCTCTGGCTGGTGAAATTAAGGGTAATTTAAGTTGCGTTGTTGTAGCTTATAGTGGTTTTCAGTTTGCCTGCAGTGAACATGTTATTGCTTCAGTAAATATGAAAAGTTTCTCAAAGAAACTTTTATTTCCAGACTTGCACATCCCAAGGAGTATAAGCCGTGTGGACAGGAGATGGTGTCACAGGCACCACTTGTCACAGTAGAGCTCCAGCGTAAGCAGACTGGGTTTCCCGGGGACCCGTGTCCAAGGTACTGTTGACCGCCCACCCCTCCACCAACTGCATCCGAAGTCATCAGTTGGAAGCCTTTCTTTTTTTAAAATCTAGGCCTTTAGTGCTATAAATTTCCCTCTGAGTACTATGGTAGTGGCATCTACGAAATTTGGTATGTTTTTCCTTTGTGATCCTTGGAGTTATTTGGAAGTATGTTAGTTTCCAAAAATTTGGGGACTTTCTAGGTATGTTTCCATCACTGATTTCTGGTTTAATTCCAGTGTGGTCAGAGAACCCACTTTTAAGTCGAATCCTCTTAACTTTACTGAGTCTTGTGTTATGGACCAGAGCATTGTCTGTCTTGGTAAATGTTCCATGTGCACCTGGGAAAGTGAATATGCTACTAAAGTTGGGTAGTATATTCGATATATATCAATTAGGTCAGGTTGGTAGGGTTATTCAAGTCTTCTGTACCTTTACTGATTTTCTGTCCGTTTGTCTTATTAATTATTCAGACAGAGGTTTTAGATCTCTCAGCCCTGTGTGAACTCTGGGCACTCTCCCCTCAATCCTCTCAGGAGGTTCTTCCTTTGGTCTTTGAGAGATTCCTCATACACGAATCAATACTCAACTGAAAACTCCAGGGGGCCCCTATGCAGAGCTCTAGAACCCTCTCTCTGTGTGTTTGAGATCCTTCCTTTCTAGTACTCTGTCCTTGGAACTCTAGATGCTCTGGCTTCCCAAGACTCCTGGCCCTGTCTTCTTGACTCCGCTCTCTGCCCGATTTCCCTCTCCTTGCACCATGGGCTAGAAACTCTTCTCTCTGCAGTAAGCTGGGATCATTGTCAACTCTGTGGCGTTTGTTGACTCTCTCTCAGGGATCACTATGCTTTACTGACTTATGTTCAATGTCTTAAAAACCCTTATTCCGTATGCTCTGGGTGACTATATTTCAGGCTGGAGAATCAACCAGGTTCCTGTTACTCTGTTTTGGCTGGAGCAGAAGTGCCACCATCAACCCTTCTTCTACTCTTTCCCACTCTGACCCATTCTCTGCCTAACAGCTATCTTTTCTTCTTAAAAAAAAAAAAATCTTTTAAAACGTTTAATTATATCACTTCCTAGCATAACAATCTTCAATGGCTTCCATTGCTCTTAGAAACCAAAACCTTGAGCACAGCTTACACAGAACTGCACACTGCTTCATGCTTACCTCTTTAATCCTATTTAGCCCCAAATCACCCTCTTGCTCTCTGATCTCCAACTGCATGACTAAGGTCCCTGGTGTCCCAGGGCATTTGCACACGCTATTTCTTCTGCCTGAAATCCTCTTCCCATATCTTCCCCACCCCTACTTAGGTAACTTTCACATCTACCTCAAAGAAAGCCCTCCATGATCCGCAAACTAGAGTATGTTTTCCTGCCATCATCTCCCAGAGCTCTCAGTTCTTTTTCTTCACCTCACCTGTTCAATGATTTTTATTATATACTGGCATGCTTCTTTAATTAACATTGGACTTCGCTGCTAGATTTTAAGCTCCAGAAGCTCACAAATAGTGTTATTCTCCATTGAAGTTACAGTATCTGGCACAGGGCTCCACACAGAGTGATGAACTGATGGTGGATAAAGGAGGGAAAATACAGCAGATGCTGTGATGCCTAACCACATCCCCCTAGCCTTCCCTAATTCCTTTGTACAATGAAGGCTTCCTAGGGAAAGTACCTGAGATTCTCCATCTGAGAGCTTGCCCACATGTGTGGGGCAGAAGATGAGACTCTTAGAAACAGCTCCTGCCAAAATGGGTAAGAGCTGGAGGGTGAAATCCTCCCTTCCTCCCCAACTTGTGGAAGATAACTCTGCTGAGTGTTCTATATAGTCCCCAGAGTTCTCCAGTGGGACTGAGCCACTATTTCCCAGTTCACCCTATATTGGCTTCCTTCCCTTCCCTGTTTTACTTTTCCACTCCTTGGTGGGACCTTCCTGGGACCACCTCTGAAATAATCTGTTTGCCCTCACATTCTTGTTTTGGGGAAACCCAACTTAAGAGAACGATATAATAAATGGAAGTCACAGATGGGTGAGAGGTCCCTGTAGGTGTGGATAATCTGAACAGTGTTTATGCGCCATCTAGTGTGTTAATCAGGCTTTGGAGGCCTGGAATCAGGGAAGGAATGTGGAGGAAGCTCTACGTGCAACCTTCATAGGGCAGATGTGGAAAATGAGCAGCCTGTATTGGACGTCCTTCCCTGCCCTGGGGAAGGAATGACTTTTCTGCTCTAACAAGCTATTTTTGGTTTAAGAATCTCCTCCCTCAGAAAGAGAGAGAGAAAGAGAGAGAAAGAGAGAGAGAGAGAGAATAAGAGGTTTTTTTTTTTTAATTTTTTTTTCAACGTTTTATTTTATTTTTGGGACAGAGAGAGACAGAGCATGAACGGGGGAGGGGCAGAGAGAGAGGGAGACACAGAATCGGAAACAGGCTCCAGGCTCTGAGCCATCAGCCCAGAGCCTGACGCGGGGCTCGATCTCCCGGACTGCAAGATCGTGACCTGGCTGAAGTCGGACGCTCAACCGACTGCGCCACCCAGGCGCCCCGAGAATAAGAGTTTTAATGATAAAGAACAAACTGAGGGTTGATGGAGGGAGGTGGGTGGGGGATGGGCTCGATGGGGGATGGGTATTAGGAGGGCACTTGTTGTGATGAGCACTGTGTGTTGTATGTAAGTGATGAATCACTGCATTCTACTCCAGAAACCAATATTGCACTGTATGTTAACTAGAAATTAAATAAAAATAATTTGAAAAAGAAACTTCTCCCTCATCTTCAGGAATAATCTTCCTCTTCTGAACTGGTGAATCTTAATGTGCCAGTGAGATCATCTGCTCTTTAGGTCACATAACCCAAATCAGCCTTATTACTATTTCTGCTTTTACAAAATATCTCTTTCACAAGTCAGGATCAAAGAACCAAATATAGGCCACAGCCAGTTCCAGAGCATAGCTTCCTCCCACACCCCTCAAAGTCAGGCCAAGGGCTGGCAATTTTTCCTGTGAATTAGGGAAGGGGTGATGACAATATGATGAGAGCAGGACAAACAGGGAATGTCTCTTTCCTCTAGAATCATCTAGAATGTCTGTCAGATGATGGCCTCCATCCAGCTTGGCTATGAACCAGGTAGATTCAATCAGACAAGAAGAGCTTTTCCAAAATAAAGGAAGCAAAGCCAGCAGGCTTTCAGTCTTGTCTTTGATGATGTAATTTGGCCCAAATGCCTTCTCTGAGGTTATGTAGTCTGAAAATATATGTTGAAGATCTCCCAAGATACTGATAAATACCTGCAATGATATACTGCACAGTGTCTGCTGATGCAAGGAAGCTATTGAAAAGCAGTGTCTCCTGTGTGAAGTGGAAGCCCAGAGCTTCCCCTTGACTTGAGTGGGGAGATTTCTAGCAGTGGGCACTGCTGTTCTACACAGCATCTGGGGGAAAGTCAACGGGCCCACAGCCGGGCCTCTGCAAACTAATGCCCCAACCATCAGCTTATTCTCTTGCTAGACTTCCCATGTGGTACACAGCAGACTGTTCAGGCTGTTAGAAAAAAACAGAGTCCCATTGGGCAACTAGACAACTAGGCATCCACTAGTATCTTCCAAGCTCATCCAGGCATCGTGCAAGGCAGGGGCATCACCCATCTCGCTGACTCTCAGAGGGCCACCTGGATGTGGGGCATTCTCCAGCCACGCCACCTCTGGCCAAGAGACTAAACATCGGTGAAGGCTCATGGAGATACACAGCAGAAACCAAGTCAGGGATGACAGACAACCCTGGAGTCCTGTGAAGGGCTGGCTTGTTCAGAGGTTTCAACAGGTATAGCTGTACTAAGTGGAGACACTCTGGGAGGAGTGGGGTGGACCACGGGGGGAAAATAAATGTAAAGATCAACACTTTCATTAGTGGATCCTACGCCCGTCCCGCCTTTTTGCCTGCTCTCCTTAAGTGCCTTGAGTTGCAACTTCTCCCTAATCTTGAGGGGTCAGCTGGAAGGTGCCGTCTTACTGGTTAGTAGTTAACATGTATTAAACACTCACTCCATGACACATATTGTGCTAATAGCTTCACAGCCTTATTCTGCTTCATTTTCATACTGCCATGTAATAGGATAGGAAAAACGGTCTTAAAAATCTGGCAGTAGAATTCCTCTCACGAAAGGGACTGTCTTTTGAAAAACAACTACGAGAGGTGCTTGGGGGAGGGGGTGGCAGGTACCAAAGACATCTCGCCAACATCTCATTCAGTATCACTCTAACCCCTTCCTCCTATGTTGTCCGCAGGAGATGGAGAACTACAAACTCCATATCCCACACTCTTTGCAGCTAGGGATCCACGTGGGACCTGGGCTCCATCAAGCAGGCACACCCTATAGAACTTGCAAGAAGGAAGAGAACTCCATCAGGTAGCACCCCTGCATGGGGCAATGGTGGCAGAGGAGTTGTTCTCTGTGGCTGGCAGGGGCAGTGGTAGCTTCTGTGTCACGGCGGGGCAGCATGATCCTGGAGGCGGGGAGGCAGCAGTCCCCCTGGCAGTTCAGTTCTCAGACACCGCGGTGTGGGCATTGTTCCTAGGATCCCAGTTCAGAGTCTGCTCCTTCATCATCCCGGTGAATCTGTGAGTCACCTAATATCCCTTAATAAATCCCATTCTGCCTAAGCCAACCAGAGGGATTTCATAGTCTGCAACTAAGAATCTTTCTTTTTTAAGGTTTTTATTTTAATTTCAGTTAGTTAACATACAGTGTTATATTAGTGTCAGGTGTACAGAACAGTGATTCGACAATTCCATACATCACCTGGTGCTCATCACAAGTGCCTTCCCTAATCCCTGACCTATTTCGCCCATATTCTGTTCAAGGCATTGTTCCTGCATTCTGTTGGAGTCTTTCTAAATGTTCCCAGCCTTTCTCGGCAGAACTTTCCAGGTCGTGACTCTGCCAGGGACAAGCCGGGACTTGCTGGCCATACCTACTCAGTCCTGCCTCATTTTTATCCCCCGTGCTCAGCACAGTGCCTGGCACAGATACAGTATTTGGACAGTGTCTGTGGTACGAACGTGCTAGGGAAGTGGAGAGGGCAGCAAGTTCTTTTGCATAGATGGAGTGGACCCAGAACAACCTCATAGTGTTGTCCCGAGACTGCCAGCGGAAAGGCCCCCAGATTCCAGTCTGACAGAACCATCTGTGTTGGAATTTCACTCGGCTCTGCTTCTTTCAAGTTGTTGAAATTCCTCACCATAACACATGCCAAAAAGATTTCCAAAGCATCCCTGCTTCCACCCTCAGCTGAAAAAGACCCCAGAGCCAGGATCCAGGAAAGGTGGGGAGAGAAGTCAGAGTGGGTTCTGTTTGAGAGTCAGATAGAAAGGAAAGGTGGAAAGATGTCCCAGGTGATGGTTCCCTCCCCCTACCTGCTGAGGCCTTCCGTGTTTTCACGGGGGGAGAGGAGGGCGAGGGAGGCGCCAATCATTTTCAGTATGTATGTTCCCTGCCACTAATGCATAGCACAGTATAAACGTAATCTTCACCAGGATGACTCTCCAATGAAAGTCTCCATCCTAAAGTGGCTATTCGAACAGGCGGGGCTATAAAAATGACCATTCCTGTCCTTCTGTCCTTCCTTCCCACTCTATCTATAATATCACACTTTGAACCCCTCTTATCCAAATGCCTTATTAATTTAGAGAAGATACAAAGCTGTAGTTAGATGATAACTCAGGCTGTATTCCTCCTTATAGATGGAGCCGTTCCCATACAGATCTCCAACAATCCTTTCCAGGGGTCTCTTCAGGTTTTCCCTTAGAAGGAGTCTTCGGTAAATGGAGCCACCAGGGAAGCCCTTTGCTTTGAGCTATTAGTTCTGTGACTTTATAGTAGGGCAGGGGCCCTTCAAGACTCAGCCCAAGTTTCTGGAGGGCTGGGCAGCCCCCATTCACGAAATGCCAATTTAGTGCCACCGGCTGCCCTTTGGAGTCAGGAGCATGACACTAAGGGACCTCAAAGTGTCTGAGAATCTATCATAAAGCAGACAATTCCCAATTCCCAACAGGCAGACCCAGGAAACTTCCATCACCGCTGCCCCTACACCTCTCTGGGCCTCAGCTTTTTCCTCTGAAGATGAAGAGTGGATTCGGCTGTCTTTCAAAGTCTTGGGTGTTAACAGCCATATGCTGAGCCTTGCCTCCCCTGCAACCTCTACCCGGGAAAGTACAAAAGGAACATAGTTATTTAGAGACTGAAGCAACCCTCTTTGGTCTCAGAGATGATCTGTCTACCTCTCACTCTATTGAGTGGTTATTTTGGGGCATTGCAGGGAAACACCTTCTCTCCCTATGCTTTTCTCCCTACTTTTGTTCTCTGCCTTTAAAGACCCCACCCACACCCACCTAACTCCTTGGGAATCTGATGGGTCACAGTCTGACATTGACTGAGACACTGCACTCAGACACTGCATTTCCATGAATTCTCTCCTGCTGCAAGTAACAGCTTGTAGTGTGTAAGCATATGCACGGATGTGAGAACACATCTCCAGGGTTAATTCCTAGCAGGGGGATTTCTGAGTCAAGAGGTAAATTGCATTTAAATTGTTAAACTTTGAGGGGCACCTGAGTGGCTCAGTTAGTTAAGCATCTGACTTTTCATCTTGATCTCATGGTTGTAAGATCTTGTGCTCAGGTCTTGATCTCATGGTTGTGAGTTCGAGCCCTGGTTTGGGCTCCATGCTGGGTGTGAAGCCTACTTAAAAAAAAAAAAACAGTTTAAATTTTGATAGCTATATCTGAATTGTCCTTCAAAAAGGCTGCACTTCATGGCAGAGGGTGACAGTAATGTACCCAATATTCAGGATGCCCTTCCTCCCTTAATAATAAAAAAGCTTCATTTCTGCAACTGCCTTGCAGATAGAGATGGCCAATAAGATGCAAGCAGAAGTTTTGTAATTTCCTTTTCCTCCACTTCCTACATGGGTCTCTGTTGTGTGGCAAGAGCTGTGGCAGCCTTCTTGTGATCTTGAGGATGAAAGCCATGCACTAAAGATAGGGGGAAGCAAGAAGGCCAGCTAAGTCTGGGTCCTTGAAAGCCCTCTTAGAGGGCTCTGGGCTATTTCTCAGACACAAGCACACAAAGTCCTAACTGATCTAAGCTGCCTCAGGCAGCCCTCTGACGCCAACAGCTCCACACAGTTCTTGATTCACACTGGTTCACATTCTCACCTATGGTGTATGACGCGCCTTTTCCCTCATATCCTCACAAGCATTAGGTGTTATGATGTACCCTATGTTTTTTAGCAATTATTTTTCACTGAGGTATAACTGACATACAGCATTTCATGGGTACAACATGATTTGTATGTGTTTCATGTACCAGTGATACTAACATGATTTGATATTTGTATATATTGTGAAATAATCACCACAATAACTCTACTTAATGCCCATCACTATGTATAGCTACAGAATTTTTTCCCTGTGATGAGAAATTTTAAGATCTGCTCTCTTAGCAACTTCCAATATGTGGTACAGTATTATTAACTGTAGCTGTCATGCTGTACGTTACATCCCCGTGACTTATTTATTTTATAACTGGAAGTTTGCACCTTTTGACTCCCTTCACCCATTTTGCCCACTCCCTACTTCCAGCCTCTGGCAACCACCAATCCGTTCTCTTTATTTAAGATTTTTTTTTTTTTTTTAAGATTCCACATATATGTAAGCTCATACAGTATTTGTCTTTCTCTGGCTTATTTTACTTAGCCAATGTATTCTATTTTTGACCATCAAAGTTTCCAGTGAAATTATCCTCCAAGAAATTCAAGATGCGAGGCTGGAGAGAGTAACTTACTGAGTTGAGGGATTCAGAAGCGGCTGTATTCAAGGGGTGGCTGCATCTGTTTGAGCAAGTGAACCACCAGAGAGAGACAGGAAACTGACTCAGGACAGCCCTGTAGGGTGTGGGGAGGCCAGTTAATGGCATCCTCAGTCATGTATTTCCCATTTATGTAGACTAAATGGGCTATTTTTTTCAATATAACTTGAGCATTTGCCACTAAGGCAAAAAGGATGTGTCTTGCTTTCTTCTCACATTTAGAATAAAATCTTCTTCCACAAACCTGCGCAGGCAGGACAAGTCAAATAACAGTCACTGGCAGGAGCAAATGGAATAGAAGAGTGTTGGGGAAGAGGGAAAAGAGTATGGAGGTTCCTCAAAAAACTAAAAATAGAAGTACCCTATGACCCAGCAATTGCACTACTAGGTATTTATCCAAGGGATACGTGTGTGCTGTTTCGAAGGGGCACATGCACCCCCATGTTTATAGCAGCACTATCAATAATAGACAAAGTATGGAAAGAGCCCAAGTGTCCATCGATGGATGAATGGATAAAGAAAATGTGGTATATATATACAACGTATTACTCCATTATGGCAATCAAAAAGAATGAAATCTTGCCATTTGCAACTACGTGGATGGAACTGGAGGGTATTATGCTAAGTGAAATTAGTCAGTCAGAGAAAGACAAAAATCCTATGACTTCACTCATATGAGGACTTTCAGAGACAAAACAGATGAACACAAGGGAAGGGAAGCAAAAATAATGTAAAAACAGGGAGGGGACAAAACCTAAGAGACTCTTAAATATGGAGGACAAACTGAGGGTTACTGGAGGGGTTGTGGGAGGGGGGATGGGCTAAATGGGTCAGGGGCACTAAGAAACCTACTCCCAGAATCACTGTTGCACTATATGCTAATTTGGATGTAAATTTTAAAAAATAAAAAATAAAATTAAAAAAAGTGTAAAATAGTAAATGATAAAAATGTAAAATAGTAAAAAAATAAATATTTTTAAAAAATTAAAAAAAAGAAAGAACTGTGTTGGGGAAGAGGAGATAAGGAATGGGGTGATTTTGAATGATGCACATTTTACACTCTTCCTCCACAACTTAAAGTTTGTTAAAGGCAATGCGATTATTTAAGCTTTAGTTTCAGGAAATGAATGTGTCTTTTATAATTATGCTCTTCCCTAGGTAGCACTTAATTATCTATACAAGCCAATGTATAGCAGGGAGCCTTCGGAAAGCCCTATTTACACCTCCTGCTCAAGCTGGCTGGGAGTGCTCACCATGGGAGGCGAGCGGACTTGGTAAGCTCGAATGCTAGCAAAATTGCCCATCATGCCAACAGTGAGATGGGCATATATAACCTAGAATTAAAAACATATAATAAATCTTACAGAAATTAAATTTTTTTTAAGTAATTATTAAACTTTAGAAAGCATATTTGTAAAGCCCTTCAAAACCTCTTTCTATTGGCCTATCCAGAGAAAGCAGCCCTGGATTAATGGTTGGCTGGAAGGACTTTTGTTCTCTGCCTCTTCTCTCAATTCAGTTCTCCCGGGTCCTGCCTCATTTTCTGGTCTGGCCACAGATTCCATTGAGATGATCTGGTTTCCTTTTTCTCCATTTGCTTTGAGTGTAAAGACTCCTTTTAAAGATCCTAACAGACGCATAGCTTTCAAACGGAGTAGAATTATAACAGGTTTCTGGAGGACCACCCTGAATGAGGACAGTAGAAGCAAGGTTAGAAGAAGGTAGGGGGAGAGGGGATAAACATTGCAGGAATTTGTACAACTTGATGGTGAGGAAGGAGAGGGAGCAGACGGGGTGAAAGTGGCCTGGGAGAGAATGGAGAGGCTGGGATGGAGTCACCTCAAGCTAGGTCTCATCTCCCTCCTCCATTTGCTACCTACATGGCCTTGGGCAAGATATTTAAGGACCCTTAGCCTCAATTTTCTCATCTATAAACTAGAGACAAACATAACCTACCGTATAAGGCTGTAGTGAGGATGAAGTGAGATCATTCCCATCTAAAGCCAAGCACATAATAGGTACTGAATAGATGACACATCATTATTGCGGTGGGTAGCCGGCCTCCAAGAAGATTTTCCAAGAGCCTTGTCTGTTCGTATTCACACCCTTGCACGGTCCCCTCCCGCACGGATTCAGTTCTGACCTACGTGAACAACAGACTACTTCAGAAGACACAGTGTGAGAGGCTTCTGCAGCCAGGTCACAAAAGGCATTCTTCTGCATTGGTCTCTCAGATCACTTGCTCTGGGGGAAGTAACCACTCCTCCACCATGAGGCTGCTCAAGAGGTTACATAGAGAAGCCCACAGGTAGAGAAACTAACTTTCCAGCCATGTGAGCTAGCCCCCTGGGAGGCAGATCCTCCTGTCTCAGTCAGCTTTCAGCAACTTTATGAGACCCCGAGGCAGAACCAAACAGCTAAGTCACTTCCAAATTCTGGACCCAAAGAAACTGTGAGATACAATACACAATTACTGTTGTTTTAAACCACTAAATTTGGGGGGGGTTAGGCAGCAGTAGATAACTATTATAAAAAGGTATTAATTGGGGCGCCTGGGTGGCTCAGTTGGTTGAGCGTCCAACTTCGGCTCAGGTCATGATCTCACAGTTCGTGGGTTCGAGCCCTGCATCAGGCTCTGTGCTGACCGCTCAGAGCCTGGAGCCTGTTTCCGATTCTGTGTCTCCCTCTCTCTCTGCCCCTCCCCCACTCACGCTCTGTCTCCCTCTGTCTCAAAAATAAATAAACATTAAAAAAATTTTAAAAAAGTTATTAATTATCTAATGCTACTATATAACCACATTCTAGAACTTAGTGGCTTAAAAATAACAAAAATCATTTCTTACTTATTGTGGTTTCCGTAGGTCAAAAATTTAAATGAGGGTATTATGCTAAGTGAAATAAGTCAGGAAGAGAAAGACAGATACCATGTGTTTTCACTCACATGTGGATCCTGAGGGGAAGGGGAAAAAGAAGTTATAATATGTGAAAGCGGGAGATGACTAACGGACCCATTACGGTGGAGTGAATAAATTGTGATACAGTCATACAAACGAATACCCTACAGAAATGAAAATAGAGGGGCGCCTGGGTGGCGCAGTCGGTTGAGCGTCCGACTTCAGCCAGGTCACGATCTTGCGGTCTGTGAGTTCGAGCCCCGCGTCGGGCTCTGGGCTGATGGCTCGGAGCCTGGAGCCTGTTTCCGATTCTGTGTCTCCCTCTCTCTCTGCCCCTCCCCCGTTCATGCTCTGTCTCTCTCTGTCCCAAAAATAAATAAATGTTGAAAAAAAAAAAAGAAATGAAAATAGACCCTTAGCAACATGAGGGAATCTCACAAAATATTGTTGAGTGACAGAAGCAAGTAAAAACAAAATACACAAGACTATGGTTCCATTACATGCAGTTCAAAAATCAACAGTATGTCATTAGAGATGCATATATAGGTTGTGAAACTATAAAACAAAGCAAGAGAACATTGATAAAAGTAAATATGGAGGTTACGTCTGGGGAGAGGGAAAAGGATATTTTCAGGCAAAAAGCACTAGGAGCCTCCAAGTACTGACAAAAGTGTTTGTTTTGTAACCTGAATAGTAGATACTCAATGTTTACTTTGTTGTTTTTCTTAGAATTTCATGTATACATTTTATACACTCTTATGTATACGTATTTAGCAATTAGCAAAAAAAATACTTAAAAATTTTTTTAAATAAAAAAACATACTTAAAAAAATTTAAACGAGACACAGAAGGAACAGCTTATCTCTGCTTTATGATGTCTAGGATATCAACTGAGGTGGCTTGAAGGCGGGAGGCTGGAATCACCTTAGGGATCATTCATTTACATCTGACAACGGCTACATCACATAGATTTTAAGACAAGCTCCAGCCAGGTAGAGCTATGCCTGGAATGTGGGTCTGGAACTCAGGGCTACAGATATGGATCTGGGAGTCATCTAGAGCAAAAGAAAGGGAATGTGACCCCCAGAAAACGGGAGAGGTTTCAGCCTTGGGGGCAAACCCAGCTTAGTGCTGCATAAATGCTTGATTTATTGGAAGTATTGGGCCGGACCTCAAAAAGCCAGCTACCCGGTTCACCTTGAGAGTTTACTGCAAAGGAAAGTACTTTTTTCCAGTCTATTAAAGCTTCGTATCAGCAAATAAAACACTACCTAACGCTCCATAGCCAGAATAGTTTTTAAAACCATGTTGGGCTCATAAAATGGGACATCACTGTCTGAACACCGGTTCCTAGGGGACCCATAGGCCATGTCCTTTGGGATCCTAACCGTAAGACTCTGCTTTGACCAGAACCCCCGCCCCCTTCCCCTGTCTAGTAAACGGGTTGCTCTCGGGCCACTTGGTGCTTCTCTCCATCAGCTGACCATCGCTAGCTCTCTTGTAGAAAACACATTAAAACAACTTAAATTAAAAATCGCAAAACAAGACATGTTCATTGCAGGGAAGAAGTATATCCCCAGGAGATAGGAGGTGGCAGAGAGGCCGGGCCCCCAGGGTGCACCGGGGCAGGCCGGTGGGGTCGTGGCCGCAGGGTACTCACGTGACGCGGACAGGTGCCTCCAACCTGGGGGATGTCACGCCCGTGCCGGTGGCTGCATAGGCCCTGGAGGCGGCAGGCGGAAATTCACCGCAGGTGCCGCAGGCGGTTGGAGGCCCCACCGCAGGCGGAAGGCGGGCGGTATGCACCCTCCTCAGCGGGGGCAGAGCCCCCCTCAGACCCGAGAAGGAGCGCTTCCGAGACCCAGCAGAGGTTCCAGGCACGGGGCAAGGCGGGTTCTGTCAGTATGGGCCTTCCTTGTTTAAGGAGTTGGCCCTTATACCTCAAATTTGACAGCCCTCGGACACGAACGAGGTGACGGAGGCCGGCAGGGCACAGGGCGCGCATGCGCCCTCCACCAGCGGCCCACTTGAGCGGAAGTTCGTGGTACTTGACTTTCTGGGAGCTCCCGGGGCTTCCCCCTGCTGGGTCTGCCTCGGTGTGTTCTCGCCACACCGTAGGTTCCTGCTGCTCCCCATGCGGCCCATCGTGGACGTGCCGCAGTACAGGCAGAATGATCTGGACGCGGCCGTGGAAGCCACACTAAGGGAGAACCTGTTGCTGGGGAGCAGGTTTGAGGCGCTCCACGTGAAACACCTGGAGATGGGGAAGATCATGGTCAGGTTTGAGGGGATCGTGTAGCAGGCGATGGAGGAGGCTCAGAAACAGAAGGAACTTGGCCACGCCGAGATCCAGAAGGTTCTGAAAGAAAAAGAGCAACTGACTGCAAACCAGAACACCACCTCGTCAAGCAGTTTTGATGTGGGAAACAAAGGCAAATGAAAAATTAAATTTCTGTACTGTCTGCAGCCCATTGACAAGTCCTTGAGACAGGCAGAGTGACATTCCTTTAGGAGCTCAGCTGCCCGGATGATGACACTTTGCTAAGGGCAAAAGGCAACCTTAGCCCCATCCCCCAGGATACTGTAAGTCTACTTTAATTTTTCTGTTTCAGCATTACTTTGGCTATTAGGGGTCTTTTGTGGTTCCATATAAATTTTAGGATTGTTTCACAATAGACTCTTAAATACAGAGAACAAACTGGTGTGGCCAGAGAGGAGGGGGGGCAGGCAAAATAAAGGGGATTAAGAGGTTCAAACTTCCAGTTATAAAGTAAGTCATGGGGATGAAACGTGTAGCATAGAGAATATAGTAACAACATTGTATGGTGACGGATACTGACGATACTTATGGTGAAAATAAAAATCACCTGTAATCTTACCATTCTCTGTGCTGGTATCTTTTCTATGCACAAATACACTCTTTTAAAAAAGAGATTATATTGAATGCTTTGGTACTTTTTTCATTAAATATGATACAGTGTGAAATATCTTTCACAGCATTAAGTAAATATTATTTTACAACATCCTTTTAACGACTTTTTAGGTGGTTCATGGCTTTATTTAAGCCATCCTGTATGGCTGAGGAATTAAGCAATTTCCATGCTTTTGTTTCTTCTTTTGAACATTTTTAGTTTGAAATAATTATAGATTCACAAGTAGTTGCGAAGATAGTACAGAGAGTTTCTTTCCATGGAACGTCTCCATCCAGTTTCCCCTTCTGGTACATCTTGTATGATTATAGTACAATAGCAAAACCCGGTATTTGACATTGGTATAAAGTTGTACGTAGTTCTGTCTTTTTTTTTTTTTAATTTTTTTTTCAGTTCTGTGTCATTTTAACACATGTAGGTTCGCGTAACCACCACCACAAAGAGATACAGAACTATTCTATCCTCTTAAAGACCTTCCTCTTGTTGTCCCTGTACAGTCATAGGCCACTTTCCCCTCTACCCCATCCCTAACTCCTGATAGTCGCTAATCTGTTCTCCATCGCCATAGTTTTGTCATTTCAAGAATGTTATATGACTGGAATTAGAGCATAGAATCTTTTGTGACTTTTTTCATTTCTCAGAATGCCTTTGATATCCACACAAGTTGTTGAATGTATCATTCCTTTTTTATTGCTGAAGAGTATTCTATGATATGGATACACTATTCATTCATTTATCTTGTTTAACCACTTACCTATTGAGTTTAACCATTTATCTATCTTTCAAGTTTTGGGGTATTACAAACAAAACATCTGCGAACAGTTGATACAAGGGTTTGTGTGGACGCGAGTTTTCATTTCTCTGGAATAAATGCCCAGGAGTGCAACTGAGTCATATGGCAAGCGCATGTTTAGTTTTTGAGAAACTACCAAATTATTTCCACCAGCAGTGTGGAACTGAGACCCAGTTCTTTGTATGCTCACCATGGTATTGCCACTATGTTTTAATTTAGCTGTTCTTCTCATAGGAGTGTAGTGATATCTCATTAAGTTGCACTTCCCTAATGGCTAGTGATGTTGAACGTCTTTTCATATGGTTATTTGCTATATGTATATGTTTTCAGTAAAATATTTGTTTATGTGTTTTGCTAATTTTTAAATTTATGGCCTGGGATACCGTTTATTTTAACATATATGCTGTGGGTGCTTAAAAAGAATGTGTGTTTTGTTGTTGTTTAGTGGAGTGTTATGTAAACGTCCATTAGTTTCCTTCTGGTTATGGTGGGGTTGAGCTTTTTTCTATATCCTTGCTGACTTTCTGTCTTATTCTGTCAGTTGTTGAGAGAGGGATGCTGAGGTCTCCACCTATCATTGCAGACTTGTCTGTTTCTACTTTTAGTTCCATCAGTATTTGATTCATTTACTCTAAGGATCTGTTGCTAGGTGCATTCACATTTAGGGTTATCATGTCTTGTTGGTGAGTTGATTCTTTTGTCATTACATAGTATCCCTTTTTATTCCTAGTAATTTTCCTTGTTCTTGATGCTACTTTATCTGAAATTAATATAGCCAGCCCAGCCGTTTATTACTATTACAAACAACACTGTTTTTAGCTTTTGTACTCATCCACAATCATGAGAATTTCTTGGTTGAAAGTCCGCATGTTTTTGTTTGTTTTTTTTTTTTAATTTTTTTTTTTTAACATTTATTTATTTCTGGGACAGAGAGAGAGACAGAGCATGAACAGGGGAGGGGCAGAGAGAGAGGGAGACACAGAATCGGAAACAGGCTCCAGGCTCTGAGCCATCAGCCCAGAGCCCGACGCGGGGCTCGAACTCCCGGACCGCGAGATCGTGACCTGGCTGAAGTCGGACGCTTAACCGACTGCGCCACCCAGGCGCCCCAAAAGTCCGCATGTTTTTAAAGGATTTTGACTCTAGTGTCAAATTGCCCTGCATAAATCTATTAACTTTTACTGCGTCAGCACTTAAGCATTATCACTTAAAATAATTATAAATGACAGGGTTTAACCAGTTTGATAGAAATGCTGTCTCATAAACTATAAATCACTGATGAAAGAAATTGATGATGATGCAAAGAAATGGAAAAGCATTCCACGCTCATGGAATAGAAGAACAAATATTGTTAAAATGTCGATACTACCCAAAGCAATCTACACAGTTAATGCAATCCCTATCAAAATACTGCCTGCATTTTTCATAGAGCTAGAACCCTAAAATTTGTATGGAACCACAAAAGACCCCAAATAGGCAAAGCAATCTTGAAAATGAAAAGCAGAGCTGGAAGTATCACAATTCCAGACTTCAAGCTGTATTGCAAAGCTGTAGTGATCAAGACAGTATGATACTGACACAAAAACAGACACATAGATCAATGGAACAGAATAGAAAACCCAGAAATGAACCCACAACTCTATGGTCAGTTCATCTTTGGGGTGCCTGGGTGGCTCAGTTAAGTGTCTGACTCTTGGTTTTGGCTCAGGTCATGATCTTACGGTTCGTGAGTTCAAGCCCCGCATCAGGCTCTGCACTGGCAGTGCAGGGCCTGCTTGGGATTCTTTCTCTCTCCCTCTCTCTCTGCCTCTCCCATTCACGTGCTCTCTCTCTCTGTCTTAAAATAAAGAAATAAACGTAAAAAGAATTAATCTTTGACAAAGCAGGAAAGGATAGCCAATGGTAAAAAGACAGTCTTTTCAACAAATGGTGTTGGGAAAACTGGACCGCAACATGTAAAAGAATGAAACTGGACCACTTTCATTAAAAAAATTTTTCTTTAAATGTTTATTCATTTTTTTTGAGAAAGAGAGACACAGAGCGTGAGTGGGGGAGGGGCAGAGAGAAAGGGAGAGACAGAATCTGAAGCAGGCTCCAGGCTCTGAGATGTCCACACAGAGCCCAGGGAGGGTCTCAAACTCAGGAACTGCAAGATCATGACCTGAGCCGAAGTCTGATGTTCAACCGACTGAGCCACCCAGGTGCCGCAAACTGGACTGCTTTCTTACAACATACACAAAAATAAATTCAAAATGGATGAAAGGCCTAACTGTGAGATAGGAAACCATCAAAATCCTAGAGGAGAACACAGATGGTAAGCTCTTTGACATTGGGCGTAGCAACTTCTTACTAGACATGTCTTCTTAGGCAAGGGAAACAAAAGCAAAAATAAATTATTGGAATTTCATCGAGATAAAAAAAAGCTTCTGCACAGTGAAGGAAACAATCAACAAACCTAAAAGGCAACCTATGCAAAGGGAAAAGATATTTTCAAATGACTTATCTGATAAAGGGCTAGTATCCAAAATATATAAAGAACTTATAAAATGCAATATCCAAAAAACAAATAATCCAGTTAAAAAATGGGCAGGAGACATGAATAGACATTTTTCCAAAGAAGACATCCAGATGGCTAACAGACACATGAAAAGATGCTCAACATCACGCATCCTCAGCAAAATACAAGTCAAAACCACATTGAGATATCACCTCATACCTATCAGAATGGCTAACATTAACAACACAGGAAACAACAGATGTTGGCGAGGATGCAGAGAAAGGGGAACCCTCTTACGTTATTGGTGGGAATGCAAACTGGTGCAGCTATTCTGGAAGACAGTGTGGAGGTTCCTCAAAAAGTTAAAAAATAGAACTACCAGGATCCAGCAAATGCACTATTAGGTATTTACCCAAAGTATACAAAAATACTGATTCGAAGGCATACATGCACCCTGATGTTTATTTATAGCAGCATTTTGAACAATAGGAAAATTATGGAAAGAGCCCAAATGTCCATCAACTGATGAATGGATAAAGAAGATATGATATATATACACAATGGAATATTACTCAGCCATAGCAAAAAATGAAATCGTGCCATTTGCAGTGATGTGAATGGAATTAGAAAGTATTCTGCTAAGTGAAATAGGTCAGTTGGAGAAAGACAAATATATGATGTCATTCATACGCGGAATTTAAGAAACAAAACAATTGAACATGGGGGAGAAAGAGAGGCAAACCAAGAAACAGACTTAACTATAAAGAGCAAACTGATAGTTACCAGGGGGGAGGTGGATGGAGGAATGGGTTAAATAGGTGATGGGTATCAAAAAGTACATTTGTGATGAGCACGGGGTGTTGTATGCAGGTGATGAATCACTGAATTCTGCTCTTGAGACTAATATTGCACTGTATGTTAACTAACTGGAATTTAAATAAAAATGTGGAGAAAGAAAAAAAGAAATGTCTCATAACTCAGTGAAGGTGTCATCGTTGGTGCACATATTTAAATGAATGAAATTCTCATCTATCCTAGTAAAAAGCCAAGAGATCTAAAATTAATAAATCAAGAAATAGGGCGTATGTATATTTCGAGAGTGGGCAGTAAATGCCGGATGCAGCAGCCATGAGTTGGGAATGTTTGACCTTGAGGAAGGTCCAAAGGAATGGACGTGGGGAATTGGAGTGGCGCCCCAGAGGAATAGTGCTTTTGTATTTATTTGTACTTGTAGTAATAGATATATTTTAAAATATGCGAAAGTTTTGATTACTTTCATTTTATAAGTGACATCTAATTGTTGGTTTAACTTGCATTTACATTTATTACCAGGACTTCCATAATCGTACAAATCTAACACGAAGTAAAACTGCGCCTCTCCGGGGAGAAACTACAACTTCCAGGGTTCCGCGGATTGAAGGCTTGGGCTGTTCTCGGAGGCAAACTACAATTCCCAGAATTCCGTTAACCAAGGGGAGGTTCTGGCCTAGGGTCCGAGCAGCTGAGCTCGCGAGCCTGCGCACGTGCACTGGCTGCCGCGCCGGGCTCGCCAGCCAAGCAGGCGCAAGGCCGGCACCCGCGAGCCCCGGCGGCGGCGGCGGCGGTGGGGTGGGTGCCGCGGGACCTGCCCTCCATGCCTGGTCGTCCCGGGCTCGGGGCGGGGTCAGGAGGCGGCAGCGGCGGCTGATTCAGCCAAAGCCGACTACGCGGAGGGCCCACCGGGACGCTTCAACGCCACGGAGCCCCGCCTGCGGGCTGCAGGTGAGCCGCGCGCTCTGGGGGCTGGCGAGGGCTTCGCGATCCGGCTGGGCTTGGAGTTGAGGGATCGGCCCCGGACTTCCCTCGGGAGGGATCGACGAGAGCGTCGGGCCCTGGGGTGAAGGGAAGCCCGGAGAAGTTTGCAGAACCGAGTAGTGAGTGTGATGCGCACTGAAGGAGGCGCGCGATGGGGGCGGAGGTGAGGGGCGATGGACCCTTGGGGTCCAGACGCCGCCCGGGCCGGGGCGTCGCCCCCAGGCGCGCCGGTTGAAGCCCTTAGCTCGCAGCTGGCGCTGGCAGCGGGTCCTCACGCCCCTTTGCTTGCGCGACGGTGAGGCGCGGTTGGCGGGGAGCCAGCGAGGTGCGCGGAGGGGACCTGGGCCTCCTGGGCTCCTTTGGAAGGCAGTACCTGGGCAGGCCTGCAGCTGATCCCCGGGCTCTTTGGAGCTTGGTAGGGTATCTTTTGTGTGCCTGGTGATAAGAGCCCACCACGGCCTGCTTCACAGTACCTGGGTAGCTTCTGGAGGGACCCAGTGAATTTCTGACCCATTCCATGTGTGTAGGACCCTGTCTCCTGGGCACTGATGAAAACCTGCCGAGATCTAGGGGTCCTTAGGCCAGAGCCCTGCACTTGGTATTGGGAGGCTAGGGTCTGCTTACTTTATGCCAACCAACTCTCAGAGCCTACTCTTGGAGGAAGCAAGGCCTGGAATGGGAAAGGTTATGGTGTGAGTTTGATAGGACTTAGAGGCTTGGAGCACCAAATGTTCACTCACCAAATGTTTACTGTTACATGCGCTGGGCATTCAAATCCTGGCTCTCATTTACTAACTGTGTGCCCTTGAGCAAGTCATTTATCCTCTCTGAGCCTCTGTTTCTCTGCAAAGTGGAGATAAAAGTACCTTCATCACAGTGTTGCTGGGGAAGGTTAAATGAGATGATGCCGTGCAAGTCTTCAGTCAGGATTGGTACACAGTGAATGTGCAGCAAATCTTAGCACTTGTGGTTGCTAAGATAAAACATGGTAGAGGTGAGATTGGAACCCAGTTCATCCTTTCCCATTACAGATGAGGAATCGGGAGTCCCAGTTAGTGGCAGAGCCAGAAAAGAATACAGGTCCCATTTTCCCCAGGGATGGCCAGCACATCAATTCCTGAGCCTTGGGCCTCAGGAGGGCGGGGAGAAGCAGAGAGTGGAGATCCTCAGCCAAGGGGCGGATGGGGTGCTGGTTACTGAGTTCCCCCACATGACACCGTGGCCATGTGAGCGTCCTGGTGGGCTCGATGTGTCAGAGTGCTAGAGCAACTACACCAGGTTTTGAACTTTCCTTCTGATTGGTAAGTTCTCGCTCTGGGCCTGGCTTTAGAAAATATTTAGCAACGAAGAGAGGCTTCTAGTGAATATTGAGCTAACTGGAAAATTAAATTACCAGATGCGCCATTCCCCAAGGGTCCGCATCACTCTCGGGTTGGTTGTCAGTGGATACTCTCCCCCAGGACCTGCCTAACACCTGACGGGTTTTTTAAATTGGATAAAATAATGAACATGAAAGGCGTAAGCAACAAATGTCATCATAGACTTTGGAGTTAGACTTGGGTTTGAATCCCAGCCCCACCACTTAATAGCTGTGTGCCACTGGGCAGTTCACTTAACAACTCTGAGCATCCTTCTTCAAACGTGGGATGAAATCGATAGCACCTATTTTATATTTGTAGGAGGGAATAAATGAGATTGTTCCTCTAAAGCACTTAGCACTGTTTCAGGCATATGTCAGAGCCACTGAATGGGAGGTAAAGCATTATTGCGATAATAATAATACTATAAAAATAATTGTCAGGCATTGTGTTTTGCCTCTGTTGTCTCTTTGAATTCGCAAAACCACTTTGTGAAGTAGGTGTAATTGTGTCTGTTTTTCAGACCAGGACACGAAGGCTTAAGAATTGGCCCAGGCAGACGCAGAAGGACAAATACTACATGATACCACATGTAGGTTGAATCTACAATAGACTCACAGAAGCAGAGAGTGGAATGATGGTTGCCAGGGGTTGGGATGAGGGGTTACGGGGAGGCATTAGTCAAAGAGTATCAAGTTTCAGGTATACAAGATGACCAAGTCCTAGAGCTCTACTGTACAGCTTAATGCCTATAGTTAACAATATACTTTAAAATTAGCCAGGGAGGTAGATCTTATATTAAGTGTGTCTGTCACAAGAGGGTGGGAGGAAACTTTTGGAGGTGATGTATGGGTTTATGGCATAGATTATGGTGATGGTTTCACAAGTACATACCATCTCTAAATATCAACTGATATATGTTAATTATGCACAACTTTTTGTCTGTTAAAAAAAAAAAACGGAAGAATTGGTCTAGCATCATGCAGCTGCTAAATGACAGGACAGGAGCTCACTCTGGCATCTCAGCTCCAGAACCAGTGCCATTTACTTCTGCTCTGCTGCCCGTGGTTCTTGCGGTTCTTGAAGCCCCGTTGTGACCCAGGGCAGCCTCCAGGGTCACAGCAGGGGTCTTCTCCGACCACGTGGAGAGGTGGTGGGGCCCCGCAGCCTGGCTGCTTGTGCATTCTCTCCACATGTGATGTTGGATGAGGCTGGAGGAGGCATCCACTGGGTGAGCCTGGGGGATGAGGAAGAGGCAGCCCCGTGGCCCCTAGTGGCTCTCATCCCCGGACCACACGGCTGGGGAAGGGTGCAGTCAGGGTGAGGCCTCGAGAGCTTGATGAGGAGAAGAAGTGATCCTGTTTAGGGGCTGGGAAGAGTTCCAGAGCTCAACCTCTTCTCTGGGCCTGATCTCTGCTTTGGGGAGGAGGGCCACCCGAGAGCCCTGGGTCGCGAGGAGAGGAGCTCTGGACTGAGAACAACCGCCGTTTTAAAAATTTTTTTTTTTCAACGTTTATTTATTTTTGGGACAGAGAGAGACAGAGCATGAACAGGGGAGGGGCAGAGAGAGAGGGAGACACAGAATCAGAAACAGGCTCCAGGCTCTGAGCCATCAGCCCAGGGCCTGACGCGGGGCTCGAACTCACGGACCGCGAGATCGTGACCTGGCTGAAGTCGGACGCTTAACCGACTGCGCCACCCAGGCGCCCCCCTAATGCCCAGTTTAAAGGTCAAGCTGATGAAGTCGTGTCGGGAAAGTGGCCTGGTGGTACCTATGTGTATCAGCTTGGGCCCCCATAACGAAGTGCCACCGACTGGGTGATGAACAACAGAAATTTATTTCTCATGCTTCTGGAGGCTAGAAATCCAAGAGCGAGGTGTTGGCAGCCTTGGTTTCTCCTGAGGCCCCTGTCCTTGGCTCGCAGACGCTTGCTTCCTCACTGTGCTCTGTCGCACTTTTCCTGGCTGAATCGCTAAGTGCTTTGTGCCCCATACCAGTTGGGTCCCCAAATCTGGTGCCCGAGGTAGAAAAGGGAGAGAAGAGTTAAGTGTGATGACAGTTGCATCCCCTGGAAATCCATGCCCTGGAAGGCCAAGAAGATGAGGGCCAGATGGTACCTGGGCTGTTATTAACATACGTCATGTTGACAGGCTCCACGTTCAAATCCTCCTTGTATGGACTTCACTCCGTACAAGCTGAGGCGCTTGGGACACATTTACTTAGCTTTTCCTAGCCTCTGTGTCCTGATCTGCAGATGGGGAACATGTTAATAGTGCTATGCTAGCCCCTTATTGTTGGTTTGAGGATGAAATGAGGAAATGTACAGCAGTTTCTAGTACGCTGCCGACATACGATGTTGGAGGTGGTGATGGTTGAAATTGTTAATTTCATGCTGAGACCTGGCTGCTCGGGGGCCCTCTTCACAGGAGAAGGGAAACAAGTCATTAGGAAGACGGGGGGAGCCTGGGAGGGACTGTGAATGTGTCACCAAAGCCATTGGGGGTTCAGTCCCTTTAGGAGTGGTTTGGGGTTGTATGGCTGGTTTAGTACCTGTGTTTCATTCATTGTTAATTTGAGGAACCCTAATGAATTACAGTTCTGACAGCTAATGTGTTTTGAGGCCTATGTAGGTACTTTATGTGCATTAGCTTGTTTAGTTCTCCCAGCACCCTAAGGAGGTTATTATTCCCATTTTACAGTTGAGGAAGTTGAGGCTTGAGGCGTTAATCTGCCAAGATCATAAAACCAGCTCACACCTAGGATCTAAAGGAAGGTAAGTATGAGCTGTGTGGCCTGTGAAGAATTCATGGCCACCACCACTAGGGAGGGGGATTTAAATCTCCACTGCAGTCTTGTGTGTCCCGATGCCTGCACTTAGCCCAGATTGGATGCACTTACGTGATGTGGGAGATCTGCCAGCGTTTTCCAGCTTCCTAAGCAGATTCTTTTGTTACCCACCTGACGGTGCTCTTCCTCTCGGGAGCCCTTTGGGCAAGACTGGTGAGCGGCAGGGATTTTTAAGCAAGGCTAGTTGACCGCTATCAGGATGACCCAGGGGGTGATCACATGAGGAGTTGGGTCGGTCCCACTGAACCGGGAAAGCCTGTGGTGTGTACAGAACGCTTCCCTGACATTCCTGGGACAGGAGGACAGCATCCTGTGGTGATGGTCCCTCCTCTCCCCGGGCAGTGAAGGTGCCCCCTCCAGTAGTGTTCCAAAGCACACATTCCCTTCCTCTGTGACAGCTGCATCACGTCAGGTTTTAACAGCCTCTTGTCCCCTCTGCCACAGAGAGAACCTTGGGGATAGAGGTGTTTTTGTTTTTGTTTTTTCCATTTTTGTATCTCTTGCACATTCTTTACTCTCTTTTGGGTTGAGGCAAAGCCTCACTCTCCCATTCTCTTCATGTCGTCTTAAGTCTTTGGGCTCAGGTTCATGAATAGATATTCATAAGGACTGATATAGATAAACATAGGTCATCTCCCACCCACCTTCCCGATACTTAGGTAGAGTCAGCCAGAAGCTAAGAAGGGCTTGCTGTGGCACCTGTACCAGGGAGGTGCCATGGTGGGCGTCCATTTTGCTTGGTTGGTGACTGTGCCATATTGGTCATTGAATAAGTCATGCCTGTCTATATCTAACCAAAGCCTTTTTTTTTTTTTTTTTTTTTTTTTTTGAGAGAGAGAGAGAGCGCACAGGCATGAGAGCCGGGGAGGGACAGAGGAAGAGAGAGAGAGAGAATCCTAAACAGGCTCCAATCCTGACTTGGGGCTCAGTCATAACAACCGTGAGATCATGACCTGAGCCAAAATCAAGAGTCAGACACTCAACCAACAGAGCCATCCGGGTGCCCCCAAATTTAAAAAAAAAAAAATTTTTTTTAATGTTTATTTATTTTTGAGAGAGAGAATGAGGGAGGGAAGAAGGGACAGAGAGAGAGGAAGACACAGAATCCGAAGCAGGCTCCAGGCTCTGAGTTATCAGCACAGAGCTCGACGCGGGGCTCAAACCCACGAACTGTGAGATCATGACCTAAGCCGAAGTCGGACACTTAACTGACAGCCAGCCAGGTGCCCCTAAAGCCTATTTTTAAGAGAGTGAAGGGTCATTCTAAGACCCTTTGTCAGGAATGACTCCAGGGCACAGCTCTCCACCACGGGCCAGAGATCCAGGCCTGGGCAGATGTTTTCAGGAGGCGTTCCCTTCGGGGGTGTGTCCCCAGCTTGCCTCCTTGCTGGAAGATGGAAGCTGTGGGCGAGGGCTCTTTCCGTGTGCTGCAAGCCCCAAAGCCTTGTGCTGTGTGAGCATGTGTATCCTTCCCTGCTTTCTGCTCCTGCCCCTCACCTCTGGGGTCCACGGCACCAGAACAGGCTTTGTCTGGGACAAAGTGATTGACAGGTAACTTGAGACTAGTGTGGTCTGGTCCATACAAGTTAACAGACCCCTCCCTTCCTTGAGGCCTTCATGCCCGGAGCAGGCAGGCTGAAAACCTGATCCAAGCCGTTGGTGCAACACCTTAAGAGTCCAATCAGGACTGCGTTTTCCATGGAATGAGTTTATTTCCAAAGAACACAGGTTTGTAATCAGCCTTCCAGCCCCACAAGCAGAGAAGGTGCCACCGTGGTCATTCTTTTGAGGAGTAGAATCAAGGTTCGGGTCGGTCCTTTTGTTTGGCTTCTTTCCCCCAGCCAGGACGGCTCTTAATCTGCCTCTGACAGGACTTCACTGGGGAAAACAGCAGGGACTCGGCCCTCCTTTTCCGGCAACTCCGTGCCTCGTGTGGAAGAGTTGTTTCCCCTCAGTCGGCAGACAGGCCTTGGAGAATCTGGGGCGGAAATATTATAGATCTCCTCTTGTAGGAAGATGGGTTTAAAGAGAAATTTGCTAAAGTTGGGTTACTTTTTAAATTCTGCAAAGTAAAGAGACGTGGTGCCCATTTTGCACGGGCAGCGGATTTTTGTTTTGCGTGGACTTGATCATACGTTTTGAGGTCAGAGTGGGTTTATGTTTGATGGTTGGCAGTAATCTGGGGATCGGTTTTAAGTGCAGGTTAGATCCTCAGTAGTTAGTGTGTTTTGGGACAGGAAGTGCACTGTAGGGCATCTGGCATGTGGTCCCGAAGTGATGGAGAAGCCGCATTATCTTCACTTAGGGTGTGGGTGAGATGAGTAGTGGGGAGAGGTGGTTTTTCCAAGTTGTATTTTCTCCTCTTTCTAAAGGAAGAACAAGCAAACGAGGACCAAGGTCGTTGGGTGCCCTGTGAAGCCTGTCTCCTTTAAGAGTTGCAACACATCTCGTCACCCACCCACCAGCATTCGCTCCCCTGGCCTCCTCCCTGCTGCAGCACCGAGGGCTCTCAGCTCCTCAGCCGTCATTGGTCCAGGAGGTGGCTGGGTGGGAGTTAACCATATCAGCTGGCTGAGTGGACAAGTTATTCCATGGGGAGGGAGAACTTTCTGTCTGTAGCTGGATATAAACCAGGGAAGCGTGTTGCTTCATTTGAGGGTGGTGGCCATGTCATGACCGTGAGAGGAAGCTGCCCAAGGGGAGAAGCGGCATCCCAGGGAGGCAGAGCAGAGAGGGCGAGTACTCTCTGACAGAGTCCTTTAGCCACCAGCCCCACCCAGCCAGCCCAGGCTGGAGTGTGGCCTTTGAGCAGGGTGGGATGTGTGGGCCTTTAATTGGGCTCGCCCCTCCCTGATTTGAGTCCTTTGAATGCCGTGTTTCTTTTTCTTCTTCATCCCCTGCCCTACTTCAATTAAAACCAGGTCTTCTGTGTCTTGATGGTTTTGAGCACAGTCTTTAGAGTCAGAGGACGCTAGGTTAATATCTAGACTTCACACTTGCATGGCCTTGGGCAAGTCGTTGAACCTCATTGACCTCAGGTTCCTCACCAGAGAATTGGGAATAATGATACTTCATAGGGTTGAGGGGAGCACCAAATGGGATGTTGTACGTAGAGGCTCTGGGAACCCCTGAAGGCAAGGCAGGCTTGGAGCAAGGGCCAGGCTGGAGGCCTCTGTTAGGACATCTGTCTTAGCCTTGCCCAAGCAGGAAAAGGGTTTATTTTTCTTTTCTTATTCTCTGTGTGGAATGGCCCATGTCAGAGACCCTCCGGCCTCCCCAGATCCCATCCCATTGGAGGCTCTGCTCAGACGGGGGTGGTTTCCCTGGCCCTTCACAGATCACCGGACCTTCATACCCACCCACAGATCCTAGATGGACAGGACATTTTTCAGGGGGCACTAGGAGGAGACAAAATATATCATCCTGGGTGACCTGTGCCTCTGAGGGCTACCGTCTTTCCTCTTCCTTGTCCAAGGAGCCTCATGACAAGACCCCTCTGGGGCAGCTCTCATCTCTGAGAGGTAGTCCAGGTGGAAATGTGTGGGGTCAAGTCCTGACCTGTGGACAGGTCCTGACCAGTGGCCCGGCCACTGAGACTGTTTCTGGAAAGAAAAAATGGGGACAGAGTGAACCATCATGCCGCATGGTGGTAAGGAAAGAATCAGTGGGGTCGTGCATGCACGTAAGGGACGCCGTACGGCACTGGGACAGCGGGAACCAATAGGCGTGTGGTGCTTTCCACATCTGACTGCAGACGAGGGTGGAGGCTGCCCCCTGCTCAGAAGCGGGTTCACTCGGAGAGAGAGGATTAGAGACAGCAGGTGAAGGAGGGGTGAATTCCAGCTCTGTCTTTGAGCTGTGAGGTCTCAGGAGAGTAAGTACAAAGGAGGATGGACTTCTTCGGCGTGTGAGGGAGCGTCCTGTCACTGCAAGTACCTTGTGATGCTGGGATTCTGGCCCCTCCACCCATTTCAGCAGAGCCAGGTGACAGAGTCGGGCATGGAGGCCTTCAGTCTGAAGGAGTTCTCATCCCTGATCACCCTCATTCTGAGTAGGCTCTTGGCGCACAGAGTGGCACTAAACAGTGGGTCAGACATCACGACTGGACACAGTACGCCCTGTCAGCCCGTCTGGCGAGCCGCAGTCCCGCAGAAGGCAGCAGCTTGGCTGAGTGTCTTTCTTAGTCCCCAGTGCCAAGGAGGGTGACCTGAGTTCTCCCTCACCGTCCCGGTCTCCCTACCACTGCCTTATTGTCACTGAGACTAGTGCCCTCTCCAGGAGCACTGAAAATTGGCCTGGAGAAAGGGGACATCACCGGCTCCGTTTTCTGGTAAGCAAACTTGGCCCAGTTATTCTCCACCATTTTGAATTTCCTCCTGGAGTTTTTTCATCCAGAAACATTTTGAAATGGTGTTGGAGAAAGGCCTCTTTTATGTTGTTTAGTGCTAGGGGTCTGATTAACGTGGTCTGTGCCTCCACTGTTATCTTTTGAAAACTCTTCTGAGCATTTTGCCCGATCCTTGAGTTCTCCTGGCTTATGCGGGCCGCTGCAGTGCATTTGGGGGATCCGGGGAAAGGGGACACAGAGGGAGTGTGGGAAACAGACTGAAAGATACTTTACAATAACTGTTGACTGGCCAAGTACTTGTTGGTTTTTTCCTACTGCACTTTGGCTACTTCACAGCAGGTGAAAATGCAAGGGTGGCTTGTCATCTGTCTTCACAGTGGCAAAATACAGTAATAACTGGGTTAGTTAATGTTACCCCAGAAGCGGATCCTGAGACAAAGATTCAAGGAGAAGTAGATTATTTGAACTGCATCCCAATAAACATGAATAAGGGCGTGAAGAACTGAGACCGGGAAGGGAAAAGGGGCATGCCTCAGGCGATTATGGTGTGGGCAACCGCCTAATCTGTCAGGGAACTC